AATGGAATCAACAACTTGAAGAAAAAGCTTGAGGTCAAATTTGACATCAAAGATCTAGGGAAGCGTAAGTACTTCCTTGGTATAGAGTTTGTGCATTCTAGGGAGGCCATTTTCAGTGACCACTGCAAGTACATTCTTGATGTACTCAAAGAAACATGAACGTAGTTGTAAAGTTGCAGAAACTATAACCAAGCCCGACTTAAAACTAAAACCCATTAGTGAAGATGAAATGTCAAATTTTGAATGCTATCAAAGATTAGTTGGGAGACTAATCTATTTAAGTCATAGTGGATTGGCTATATCTTATATTATAAATATGGAAAGCCAATTTACGAATTCACCTAGTGATGTAGAACGGGAGCGGCTAGCCACTTAAAATATGAATTTAATTTTCAGATTTTAATTTGGAGGGATTTGAAATTTGAAATTTAAATTTAACTCCAAAGGGGAAGGGGAATTAATGGAGAGAGAGGTAGATAGGAGAGAGAAGGGGGGGCGGTGGCATGCATGGATTTGGGGACTGGATTGGTGGAGTTAATGCTCTCCTAAATTAAATTTCAGTTTTAGAAAGAGAGATAATCAATCCAATTTAATTTGAAATTGATTTGGATTGATTTAAGGGATTTCCTAATTGAACACTAGATATTTTAGGAAAAATTTTGAAATTTGAATTTGAATTCAAATCAGATTGACTCTCTTTCCAAAATTATCTACAATATTTTAAGAAAGTAGGCTATCAAAGTGAGATTGGCTCTAATCAAGAGAAAGAGGGGAGGGGCCGGCCTAGAGAGAGAGAGAGAGGGGGAAGGGGTGTCTAGGTTCAATATATTTGGGTTAAGGATTAATTAATCAATTAATTTCAGATTTGATTAATTAATAGAATGAGGGAAGCTTTCAAAATTAATGTAATTAATTAGGAAGGATTTGAAATTCAAATTGGATTAATTTGAATTTAAATTCCTTTCCAAATTAATGATAATCTAATTAAAGAAAGAGTGGATTTTTGGGGAATTGGAGTTAGGGAGCGAGATGGCCGACGGTTGGGCTGGGATGGTGGCTCTCAGCCAAGAGGAGGGAGGAGGGGTGAGGGGTTGGTGGCGGTTTGGAGAGGGAAGGGTGGTTGGCCGGTGAGTGAAGTAGGGGGAAGTGGCCGGACGGCTAGGAGAGGGAGTTTGGTCGGCGGTCAATGGAGAAGGAGACGGAGAGTTTAGAGAAAGAAATATAAACCATGAGCCCGGACGCTTCCTGCGGCTGATGGGTGCTATGCTGCCCTCACCCAAGGACTTCAAACCACGAGCCCGAACATTTCCTGCAGCTGGTGGATACTACGCTTCCCTCACATAGGGATTTCACCAATGTTTCTCCCCAAAGAAGTGCAGAAATTTTTTTTATTAATTATCCATCATTCTAATACAATAGCAAGGGCTTCTATATGTAGGCCTCGAAATAAAAGAAACTCAAAAAATACACAAACATGCCCCTAGGGCTTACATAGGACTACTCCCTCAAGTGAGGGTAAAAATTGAAAATGCATAAATAAAACAAAAAAATACAATTAGTAAATTAAGATAAAGTGAAATAATCTCGGCCGTTGATCTTCGTCTCTTCCTCATATAAGCGTTGATTGTCGGATGTCCGCATCACCTAGACCCACCTATTTTGAAATTGTGTTTTGTTAGACCGGTCCACTGGACCGGCCCAGCCGGTCCAGGCGGGACCGGTTCGCGAGCTTGAGATCCCGTAGATTAGGTTTTCTTTGGGCTCTAGCGGCGTCTAGAGATTTGGGAGAGATCGATCCTCCTCTCGAATTGAGGATCAATTGTATCTTTGCTGTTTTCCTTGATTTTCTAGTGAAATACAAGCTTCTACTTGTGTTTTTCTCTACGTTTTCCCTGTTTCCTGCTGTTTGGCTGCTGTTGGCTGCTGTGGACAGCAGTTTACTGCTGAAATTTTACTGATTTTGGTGAGAAACACTTGGAAATCCAAGTGTTTCCTATCAAATTGGTATCAGAGCGTCGATTTGGGACCACCGGCGGCTGAAATTCTGAAATTTCAGCAAGTTTATCATTTCCGGAAGTGATATTTTTGAGATCCATTCGGAAGAAAGATGGCCGGAAAGAAGGTTGACATCTTGAAAGGCGAAGTCGGCCAATTGAAAGCCGATTTGGAGGAAAGATTCTTCACCTTCAGAATCAAATCACCTCCAACAATGAAAGGTTGGAGGGGAAGTTCACCGCAATGGAGGAAATGTTGAAGAAACTACTTGAGATGAAAACCAATCCGGCGACATCGGAAGTAAGAGAAACCGCCGACGGCCATGGCATGAGAGGAAATCCGAACCCCTTGCGGGGGAGGAGAAATGTGGAGGTGGAGATCCTAGAGGAAGAGAACGACAGGCCTCCTCTAGAGCCTCTTTCGAGGGAAGAGATGAGTATGGGATATGACAGAAGGGAGGGTGATTTTGGTGGGAGGAGAGAGGGATCTCATCGCCGAGGTGCTGAATTCGAAAGAATTCAGCGTCGAGGGGGGCGAGCGATTATCGGATAGCGTATTGGAGGGAAACTTCATGAAGGGGTTGAAGGCAGAGATTCGAGCGGCAGTTAAAGTTCTGGTGCCTAGTGACTTGGAGGAGGCAATGAAGTTGGCACAGCTGGTAGAAAATCAGAATAATCTGGAGAAGGGAGCTAGGAGCAGCAGCTCAGGAGGCTCTTACAAGACTACGACCACTCTTTTAGCACCAAAGGGGCCTGCATCAGTCAACAATAATGAGATCACCAGGGAGAAGCCAATAGGAGGAGGGAGTGGGGATAACTTCAAGAAGTTCACTGAGACAGAATTACAGGAGAAGAGGGCAAAAGGGTTTTGTTTCAGATGTGACGAGAGGTATACGCCGGGGCACAGGTGTAAGGACCGAACTCTTCAAGTTCTTACTGTTTGTGATGAAGAAGGAATGGAGGGTGTCGTCTTTCCACCTTGCGGACAAGGTGGATCTTTGGGAGGGGAGTATTGTTAGACCGGTCCACTGGACCGGCCCAGCCGGTCCAGGCGGGACCGGTTCGCGAGCCAAAAATCGCGAAACAGGCGGAAGCCGCACGCACGCACGCACGCCGCCGATTCAGCCGCACGCCCGAATAGGAAGGTTTTTGAATGGATTTTAGGAGGGAAATTGATTGTAGGGATTGTTTAGGGAATTCCTTTTGATTTGTATGCATTAAATAGTAAATTTTCCTAGGGTTTGAGCATCTTGAATTTGGCTGAAATTTGAGATCCCGTAGATTAGGTTTTCTTTGGGCTCTAGCAGCGTCTAGAGATTTGGGAGAGATCGATCCTCCTCTCGAATTGAGGATCAATTGTATCTTTGCTGTTTTCCTTGATTTTCTAGTGAAATACAAGCTTCTACTTGTGTTTTTCTCTACGTTTTCCCTGTTTGGCTGCTGTTTGGCTGCTGTTGGCTGCTGTGGACAGCAGTTTACAGCTGAAATTTTACTGATTTTGGTGAGAAACACTTGGAAATCCAAGTGTTTCCTATCATGTTTCTCGTATCCTCAGATATCTCAAAGGACTTCAGGAAAATGATTCTTGTTTTGAAATAAAGGATATCAATGACAGGAGATCTATGTTTGAATATTGTACCTTTTTAGTTGTTGTCCTGATCACTTATAGTAGAAAACAAAGTGTTGTGGCTAGAAGTAGCATCGAAGCTGAATTCCGATCTATGGCACGTGACTTTTGTAAAGTATTTATGGATTAAAAGACTTCTAAAAGAACTAAAGATATTTAATCCAAAACCTATCAAAGTCTATTGTGATAATAAAGTTGTAATCTCTATAGCTCATATTCCTGCTCCATACGATAGAGCGAAGCATGTAAAAGTTGACAAACTTTATCAAAGAGAAAATTGACAGCGGTGTGATACATATGATTTACATACGTACAACAGATCAGATTGATGATATCCTCACCAAAGGGCTTTCAAAGCCACAATTTGAATATCTGGTAAGCAAGCTATCCACAAGCGATATCTTTATGCCAATGACTTGAGGGGCAGTTTTGAATGATCCCTCCTCTGCATGCTCCTTGGTCCCGCTTCCACAACTCCTAGGTCCCCTCTCCAGACGATTCAGGTTATGGGCCTGCCTCCTCCTTTGGAATGATATGACACATGGATTGAGGCACTCAAACCCTTGAATTACTTACCCTGGAGCTGTTAGATCACTTCACTTGTATCCATATTGTTGTCGGCCCCTCGTGGGGCTATTTATTTCCTATGTCATGTATTTTGTGTTTTGTTTTTATAAATTTTCTTTTATTTGGCTTCTAGACAAATATATTTTTTATTTTGCTCCTAGGAAATTATAGCAATTTTTCATCTCTTTCTATTCTCTTTTTTCGTTCTTCATAAATAAAGTAATAAAACTTAAGGCACGAGGGGCGGTTTAAAATTATGCAAGGGAGATCGCATGATGAAGGTCTTTGATGCTCTTCATTGATTCACATAGGGGGTTTTGCGGTGGTTGTGCGTACGGGTCGCTGGAGGTTGTGCACGGAAAAGAGGTTGGTGGTTGGGACTAGAGAAGAAAGTCTTGGGTTGCCGGATATCTTGGGTGTCTAGGGTATGTGGAGGTTGAAGGCATGTAGGGCGTCATGGGTGTGCATGATGTCAAGTGTGAAGTGGTGTTATCCAAATTTGTTCTAATTGGGTAAATTTGAAATATAACAAAAAATTAAACTAAGTGAGGTATTTCAAATTCCTCAACAATTTCCTTGCATTTTTTAATAGTTTAAAACTTGTTTTATTTTTCTTATACGAAACATCTACATTAATTTTACACCCAAAATACTCTCCCAACCAAACCTCTTAGTTAATTTCTAACACTTTGTCACCATGTTCCTTGGTACTCATTAAATTGTTGGTGGACTATGTCACAGAAATGAATATTTTTCCATTTACTCAATTCTGTCACTTAAACGTTCTTCTACAATTTTATTTTTCCTCTCAGGATTTTTGACTGCATGGATGAACTAATTTCTGACTATGAAAGTGGAGCATTGCATCCAGCTGATGTAAAACCAGCTCTATCTAAAGCATTAAACGAGATTTTACAGGTACTTTGTCATCTTATTGATATTCTTCAACTATTTGTCTTATAAAATGATTCTTTGGATTGATAAATTATTAATTCTTTAAGGGTTACATAAATTCTGTTTTAGGATTTTGGATTTAGGGTTTAGGGTTGCTTAACATTGAGACATTTGATAAGGAAATCTTATTAAGTATTTTATTTGCACAAAATCTGCTTGCAATTTTTTTTGCTTTAGTTTGATTATTAGAGATTTATGCAACTCAAATGGGGAATGTGTGAAAAAAAATTAATAATTGGGTGAAAATCAGAGAAACAAGTGAATTTCTTTCCATTTTGGATTTGTTAATTGGAGATTTACAAAAAGTATGTTCTGTTATGTGAGAAATATGTTATCAAACTTCTTATCATTTGGTTATTCTGGATTCCAATTTTATATAAATCTTGCTTTTCTTATTGATATTGATGGTTTCAGCTCAATTTTTCATTGACAGCCTGTTAGAGATCACTTCAAGAACAGTAAGGAAGCCAGAGAGCTGCTAAAAACAGTAAAGGTATTAGATTCTGTTGCTTAATTTACAGTTCCTGGCCAGTTGCTTAGCTTAAAACAGGCAAGGAAAAACATTTTGATTTTTTTTTTTCGGGGGAAATTTTTATTTTCTGATTAAATTTTAGTTTGGACAGGGCTCTCAGGTCTCTCTAAATTATTAAATTTATTTTAAAATTCCTTTAATATAAAAAAATTCAATTAAAATTTTTATCGTTTTTCTCTCAAAATAAATTCAGAAGTTTTTTAACGTCCATCCTGATCAAGTTCTGAATGATTTTCGATAATTTCTTTAAAAAAAAAAACTTTTAAAAAATGTAAAACCTTTGTTCTGATGGAAAGTTTGGCTCCTCAAACCTTTGATTGTGTTTGCAGGCTTATCGAGTTTCTCGCTGATCTGACATTCTCAAACCATTCCATGTTTCATTTGTGTAATGAATGTTTAAAAATATTTTACTTTTATTTATTTTGATTTTTCGATCTGATTCAGTCTGCAGATCAGAAATTTAGGTCGAAACTCTGTTTTTACAATAAAATAAAAAAGAGGACAGATATTTTGTGGATTTTTTCTGTTGAAATTTTAAAAAGTAGACTATTTAAGATACATATAATATCTTAATCGTTTAGGTTTGAATTGGGTAGGTTCTTTAAGTAGCTATGGTTGTCGAGCATATTATGCATTGTTAATTCTCGATGAATCATTATATGTTTTATAGTGTTAATTTGCAAATTGAAATCTTTTGATATCCTTGTCAAAATTTTGGCTATAATGATTTTTTAAAATTTATGGAATTTATTTTGATATTAATGTTATATAAAATTTAATTATATTTTTTCGCTTTTATCTTAAGGTTAATTTAAGAATTTTATGATTTATTATGAATAAATTTTAAGGAGTTAGCATTTTTATTTAATTTAAATTAGAAGAAAATTGATTATGATTTATTTTGCAATGAGTGCAATATATAATAAATTAATTATTTGTTTTAAATTAATTTAGTAGCTTTAATATATTTTTAATCAAAATTTGATAACAATATTTTTAACCAGGTCTTTGTTTTCTTGAACTTTGTTGAAGTTTGCTGGCTTCACTCAAAAAATAAAAATAAAATTTTTGGAACCTCTTTTTTTATTCAGGTGTCATATAGGTAGTAAAAGGAAAAAAGTAGGTTGCTCTGTTTAAACTTTTTATAGGTTTACAATCATTAAATGTATTTTAAAATTAATATAACATGCATAATTAATATTATATTATTCTCAAGATGAATTAAAGAATTTTGAATTAATTTTAAATATAAAGTTTAGTCTTTGGGTTTGTATGGGATGGGTTTTTTTAGCCTTATTTTTTATATAATAATGATTTAGTTTTGGTTATTATTTTTTTTTATTAAAATTTTTCAAAAAATTTATTGATAAAAAGTTTTTATTTGCAGCTAGGATAGTTAAATTGTTTTTTTTATAGTAATTATCTAACTAATTTTATAAAATATCTCAGCCCTACCAAATATATTCTTAATTTTAAAATAGAAACTTTGTCCGTACTATTAACACTGAAAGGGAAAAAATTTGTCAGGTAAAGATAAAACAATACATAAATGATTTAATGTTTGGCGGTGAAATCTTAATTCATCACAATTAACTAATTAAAAGAATTGTGCTAGGCAAGCTTAGCATATTTATTGACATTATTTGTGAATAAAAATAATTTCATTTGCATGTCATTCATCATCATAGTTAGTCAAAGTTTACCTTTTATGAATCAAAATTTCTCCATAATTTTCATTTTTTAGCTTGGAAGGGAGAAAGGTAATAAAACAATATGCACTAAGGGTGATGAGAAAAAAAATCTAGTGATTTAGTGAAAAAATTAGTAGAATATTTTGATGCAAATTGATAATAAATTCTAAAGCTCTTGAATTGTATTAAGATTTGTTTTATATATGATATCGTGAGTTATACTAATTTTTGCAGAAATCTAAAAATTTAGAAGTTCATCTTGATATGATTTGCATTATTTTATTATTATTTTTAATGAATTTATTTATTTTATTATTAGTAGTATTATTATTATTATTATTATTATTCATCTCTTAGCTGCAGTTAGATATAAGTAATAATTCAAATCAAATTTTGCGATTGGAACACACCAAAATTATTATGCCCAGATTGAGCCCATATTATATGGCTGGTTTGGGTGTTTTACAAAATTAAGATATCCAAATTTCATGTAATGGTAACGTAAAATTTCCAGCTAGGCATAATTGTAGCATACATTTACTCGATTTGGTGCAAATTTTCTTTATATGACTAAGTACATCTTTTCTAACTATACCGTTTGATCCATAAATTTGTTAAAAATAATGTTCTCATTATCTTACAACCAATTCTTAAAGTTTCTTACTCAAATAAAAATTGCAACATAATTTGTTCTTGATAGATAATATTTAATGGCATCAAATATACAGTTCTTCACATGAACTAATAGGAACCAAACACGTGCTTGTTCGAATTTGAGCTCAATTTATTTAAAATTAACTTTATTGTTGCGTCCTGGAATATTCGCGATGGTTGAGAGATAAAGAGTTTAGGATCCTAGCTTTTAACGAATATTCAAAGCACATACAAATAAAAAGAGATATGTGCATGAGTTATAAGAACACTATATTTTTTATGTGAAAATTCATGGAGCCTTGCCCAGTTGAAATGAATCCACTAGTGTGCTATTGATTACAAATGATGGCCTTCATCGGGGGAAGGCATTGGCTCAATGTAGAAAATATAAAGCACATTACATAGTTGAGGTGTGAAGAATCCAATGATATGAGGGCTATTTTCACGAGAACATTGGCCTATTCATATGGTTGGTAGGACCGTAGTTGGGCGACAGAGACTAGATAGATTGTAGTTGGCGTAGGAAAGTGGTCGAAAGGACCTTAGTTTCCATGTGATGGTGGTCGTATGGATCGTAGTCGGCGAGCGACCGTGGGTGGAAGGATCGTAGTCAGCTGGCGATGGTGGTTCGAGGTAGACCCGGCAGTGGTGGCTAGACAATGGTTTGAAGGTGAAGATCAGGCGGATGTTCAACAGCAATGGCCGGGCGACAAGGGTTCACAGATGGTGGTGTCAGGGTGGAGCTCTGTGATACTTCAACCACTATAGCTCTCTTTAATCTCAAGCCCAAGGTTTAAGCTTCCAATGGTCCAAGTACATCGGGGTCTTGCCCAATTGAAATTAATCCACTAGTATTTTTTATTGATTACAAGTGATACCCTTCATCAGGAGAAGGTATTGGCTCAATGTAAAAATATATAGTACATTACATAGTTGAGGTTTGAAGAATCCAATGATATGAAGGCTATTCTCAAGAGAATATTGGCCTATTCATTTGGTTGGTAGGACCGTAGTTGGGCGACAAAGGCCAGATAGATTGTAGTTGGCGTACAAAAGTTATCGGAAGGACCTTAGTTTCTTAGTGATGGTGGTCGAATGGATCGTAGTCTGTGAGTGACCGGGGGTGGAAGGATCGTAATCGGCTGGCGATGGTGATTCGAGGTAGACCCAATAGTGGTGGCTGGATAGAGTTTTGAAGGCGAAGATCGGGCGGATGTTCAACAGCAGTGGCCGGGCGATAAGGGTTCACAAATGGTGGTGTTAGGGTGGAGCTCTGTTATTCTTCAAGCATTATAGCTCTCTTTAATCTCAAGCCCAAGTTTTAAGCTTCCAATGGTCCAAGCACATCGAGGTTTAGCCCAGTTGAAATTAATCCGCTGGTATTTATTATTGATTACAAATGATGCCCTTCATCAAGACAAGGTATTGGCTCAATGTAAAAAATATAGAGCACATTACATAGTTGAGGTTGGAAGAATCCAATTATATGAGGTCTATTCTCAAGAGAACATTGGCATATTTATTTGTTTTGTACGACCGTAGTTGGGCGACAGAGGCCAGATAGATTGTAGTTGGCATACGAAAGTGGTCGGATGAAATTGCTAGATGCACTAAGAAGGGCGTGAAATTTATATTTTAACAACTTCTTTAAAGAGAATAAATATCTTTTTATAAACTACATGCGGAAGCAAAATATATTCACAATCAAAAGATAAATCATCAATTTCATCCACGCAGTTAATCACAATAAAAATGAATGCATAAATAAAGTGCGAGAAAAAAAAATAAAGGAAAGAACACACCAATTTATAGTGATTTGGTCAAACCATGACCTACGTCCACTCCTCGGAGGCACCCTCTGAGTATTATACTAAACCTTTGATGATTATTCTCCTTTTGCCCGCACAGCTTGGTGGAGAAACCCTTACAAATCACTTTCACCTTCCCCGGTGCGGCGGAGGAGCCGGGTCCTTTGACACCAACGAAATCTTCTTCTTCCCAAAACTTCCTTCAAGATGAACATTGAATCCGATAGTACTGAGGTGCAAGCTCGCCGGAAGTAACCGTGTGAAATCTCCTTCACACTCACTTGAAACCCCCTCCAAGGATCTTCTCCCTCTCTCAAACTCCACCCTTTTCTGCCTCCCTTTCAAGTCCTCTCTTCAAGTTTTCTCCAAAAGAACAAAAACACAATGGCCGCCAAAGACTCTTACAAAGTCTTATGAGAGTGCTTAGAGGGCTAAAAAAACCCTAAAAAACTCAATTCAAACGCCAAAGATCAGACTATACGATCGTAAGATCGTCTAGTACTGTGTGCAGAAATTAACATGTTAGTAATGTATGATGTCCAGTTAGTACTGTACGAACAGTTCATACTGTACGATGTCTGGTATGATGTTCTATATGAACATTTCAATAAAAGTGCAGTACGTCCAGGACGAAGCATGGGATGGCCAGAATTATCTCTATTAATCGTACAGTACGATCCAATTCATATAGTACGATCAAAATATCAAAATTAGATTGAATAATCACAGGATTAAATTAGGCAATGTTTTAAATATCGTATAGTACGATCATGATCGTATAATACGATTAGAACAACTTTTCATTTTAAAAAAAGTTGCTTATTGCATTTTTAAAAAAAAAACAACTTTTTAAATTCAAAATTTTGCCTAATTTAATGGACGGCGGGCTTTCTAATTATAACAGATCGTACGGTACAATGTGGTATTCGTACAATACGATTAATTATATTTTAAGAATATTTTTTTCAGAAAAAAAATATTTTAAATCATTTATGTTACACCTGATCGTACAATATGATCCAGATTATTCCATGCGATATACAAAAAATTAAAATATTTATAATCATTTTTTGCTCCCTCTGTGTGTGTGCATGGTCAACAAACTAGCATACATCGTTACAAGACTTGACTCAAGAAATGAAAATTACATACTCATTTAATATAACCAGTTCTACACAATCTTAAGCCTTGAATCTTCAAGAACGGTGCATGATGTACATGAAATATTAGTCAACACACAAACAAATATGCACTACAATCACTAGAAGAAATAAAAGATTAATCAATATTATTTGTTATCATCAAAATCATAAACTCGAAAGCCCGAGTTACAACAGGAAGGACCTCAGTTCCCTAGTGACGGTGGTCAGATGGATCGTAGTCAGTGAGCGACAGTGGTTGGAAGGACCATAGTTGGTTGGCGATGGTGGTTCGAGGTAGACCTGATAGTAGTAGTTGGATAGAGGTTTGAAGGCGAAGATCAAGCGGATGTTCAACAGCAGTGGCTAGGCAGCAAGGGTTCACATATGGTGGTGTCATAGTGGAGCTATGTGATTCTTCAAGCATTATAACTCTCTTTAATCTCAAACCTAAGATTTAAGCTTCCAATGATCCAAGCACATCGGGGTCTTGCCCAATTGAAATTAATTCACTAGTATTTATTATTGATTACAAATGATGCCCTTCATCAGGATAAGGTATTGGCTCATGTAAAAAATATAGAGCACATTACATTGTTGAAATTGGAAGAATCCAATGATATGATGGCTATTCTCAAGAGAGCATTAGCCTATTCAATTGGTTGGTAGGTTCATAATTGGGCAACGGGAGCCAGATAGTCTATAGTTAGCGGACGTAGGTAGTCAGAAGGACCATAGTTTCCTAGTGACAGTGGTCGGATGGATTGTAATCGATGAGCAACCATGGGCGGAAGGATAGTAGTCGGTATGTGATGGTTGTTTGAGGTAGACCCGACATTGGTGGCTGGACATAGGTGTTATGACAATGATAGATCGGGTGGATGTTCAAAAATGGTGGTCGGGCAACAAGGGTTAGATGATGGTGGTGTCAGGGTGGAGCAATATGATTCCTCACGCATTATAGTTCTCTTTAATCCCCCCCCCTACGCGCACGCACATCTAATGACACATATAGAATTCTTTAATTATTAAGAGTTCATCCAACATTTAAGTGCCATAAACATGTGAGAATTAAACGATCTTGTGCTCGTTGGATTCATTTCGTCAGGTGCTCGATTTTGACTATAAGCATGTTATGTTTGGAAATTATTTGATCATCTAATGTATGCTTTGAAGATTTCAAATATGAGTTAGTCCCTTGATTTGGGCTCGGATTAGATTAATTTTGGTATCGTTTAGTTCGTCTTACTGAGACGTTCAATTTGATTAAGTTTGCTAAAATTGGAGTTTGGATGATCCCACATTTAATTTCAAATTTTTCAATCGCCTTGAGATTTGTGCTCGTTTAATGCGATTTTCTCCGTCGATGAAGATTGGGCGGAAGTTCAACAATGGTGCTCGAGCAACGTGGGTTCATCGACAGTTGTGTCAAGGTGGAGCACAATGATTCTTCAAGCCTTATAGCTCTCTTGATCTCTAGCTAAAGGTTCAAGTTTCCCTTCATGTGGGAAGATGAGATCTCTAGCCTTATATATTTTTTATAGTGATAGGTTTCGTAAATATGAAGAAGATCAATGATAAATTTGGAGTGCTCCATTGCACGAAATATATTAATTCCTTCAATCATAGATTGTTCATGCAACATTCATCTGGTCGAGCCGCTCGGTTTGACAATAAGCATGCTATATTTAGATATCATTTAATCATCCAATTTACGCTTTGAAGCATCCAAATATCCTTCGGTCCCTTGATATGAACCCGTTGGGCCTCAGATTGAACCGATTTTAGTGTAGTTGGGTTCATCTCACTAGGATTTGATTATAAATTTGTTGATATTAGAGTTCAGATGATCCCACATTCAATTTCGGAAGTTTTCAATATGAATATGTCTTGAGATTCTTGCTCGTTCAATAGGATTTTTGGTAACATATAAATTATGAATGTTCTAGCTTGATTTGGGCTTCCTTTTGGACGACTTTTTTATTACTTCTTAAAATAATTTTTAGTACACAAATTATAATTATTGAGTCTCTTTTGATTTAACTCACGAGCTGTACTACCGAGTAATGTGTTTGATGCCCGACCCTATCATATTGAGCATGCTAATTATCGAGTAGCTTATTAGTAATCAAGCCTATTAATAAGTAGACAATCAATTTTAATATGAGCTTTTAATGATATTTTCATTATCATAAGTAAATTGAAAATTAGAATGTTCAAAAATTTTCATTTATCAATCATGAAATAATAAATATGTTCAAATTTGTTTGATGTTTTAATTCAATTTATATATATATATATATATATATATATATATATGCTCAATTTAATCTTAGAGTATCATGTTGCCTCAATTTAATCCATCAACTATATAAAACTAATAAAAAAATCTCTCATATTATAATTGTGATATAAAGTTATTCTCAATTTATAATTAATAGATTAAATTGATACAATGTGATATTCTAGAATTAAATTGGGCATATATAAATAATCTGAGAAAAATTTTGAATTTTAATATATATAAACTTTAGATGATGGAACGTCGCTATGTGAAATGCGTCTCTGCAATCCTTCGTAACAGAAAGTGCGTGCTCGGAGCCTCGGACGTTAGTAGGCTATGTAGGTTCGAAATCTCCTCATTTCTTATGGCGTCGTGAAGATAGACAGCGAATCTCAACCGTTAATATAATCAGTCGGGAAATCGGACGATGCACCTCTCGTAGTAATTCTTCTAAATGTTCTGGACTGGACTGTAATTTCATTATTTCAGTACGGATTAACGGAATTATATGGTGGCAGATTGAGAACGGAAGAGCTCTCATCATCCTCCTCCGGCTGCGAGGAAAATATCAAAGGAAACGAGCAATGTTTTACTCTCACCAGCTCCTTGCGAGGAAAGCTCCTCTCGGCCAGATCTGGCGAGTGTTCATCTCCGTCTCTTTTAAGTTCCTCTGGTTTTATTCCCGCTCGATCGATTCATTCACAGAATTTGGAGCTATATGTGATTACAGGATGGCAGCGACCTTGAATAACAAGATCAAGCGAAGAAACTTAGAGAAACTTAATATCCCACTGATTTGGTGCTACTTTTATATTGAATTGTTTGCTTTCATTTCACTCACTCGATTTTCTTATTCACTAAATCGTCATCCATTGCAGTGAAGAGATCCTAAATCCATCCATTCCGATGGCTCTGAGACTCTCGGGAATTCTAATGGGTGAGTGAGATTAGATGCTGCTTCTTTCTTAAAATCTATATAATGGAATTAATGTTTATTATTAATTATGCTTTATATTATTCTTACATTAGTTCTCTATTCGTTTTATTTGTCCTGCTTAGGTGGTGTTGTAAATGTCTACAAACGAAAAGTTGATTTTCTCTATGGTTCGCATCCGATATGTGCTCTGTTCTTTGTTGCTCTTTTCCTTTATCTGCTCTCTGCTTTCTTACACAGTTACCCATATGTTTTGAATGTGCATTGATTATGTTGCAGATGATGTTAATCGGTTCCTGGTATTTTCTCTGATCCTGATTCAGTCGATTACAATTTCTTCTGTCTTCCTCTCTCTCTCTCTCTCTCTCTCTCTCTCTCTCTCTCTCTCTCTCTCTCTCTTATTGGCATCGTTCAGTTAGATAGACATGTTTTGATACCCTGTTGACTGAGATTTGACATCTAATGTGTCAATAATGAATTAATGATTGTGTATAGGAGGAGTTCAATAGAGCCTTCAAGGCAAAGATTGCAGGAGACTCCAGTAGCAAAACTCAGGCCAAGCGCAAAGCACAGGCCAGGTACAATGTCCCATTTATATCTTACTATCTCTCTTTTTTATCTCAAGGCTGATTTGGATAAATTAAGCAAACAAATAATAATGTTGGCAAGTGGTTGCAGGTCCGAGGCAACAATCACAATCGCTGACAAGGAAAAATTCGATGCAGATATGGAGCAATACACTATCCACCCCTCCAACCCATCATTTGATGTGGCGAGATTTCAAAAGATGGTAATGATCTCAGGAATTTCCAATTTTCTAATATATCATTTTAATGTAATTTTTTATCTATATTTTTATAATGTTATTTCATAAATTATGTTTTATTACCTTTGTTCATTTAATATACAATTAAAAATATTTAAAATAATAGTCAATATGAATTGGAATTTTTGTAGAATTTGTGTTGGCAAAATCAAATGTATTTTATCTATTGAAAATGATTTTTATTAATTTTTGGGAAGACAAAAGTCTGAATTCCTAGTTTTATGAGCTTAAGCCGAATTAAATTTTTGTAAAATTAGCCAAAATTCTTTTTCAAATACAATCAATATATTTTTGTGTTGGTAGGCCAATCGTAATTTTGTGTTAGTCATGATCTAACTCAATCAAATATATATATATATATATATATATTTAAAAAGTAGCTAAACTTAATACCTAATTCTAAAATTCTATTATATTTGTCTTTATGCCAAGATTATCATCCGCTAACTTCATAAAATGACATTATTATTTTCATTCATCCGTGAAGCAAGTTTTCGAGGAATGTGCATCCCAACGACACTAATGAACTTTTACTAAACGATTCTTAAAATCTCCAACACAATAATTCACTCGGAGATCTCATTGTTATGCTGCACAGCCTAATTTTTGTCCAATAAAAAAATGTGCTACATGAATTTATTGGTGGATTATTTTTTTAAAGGTGCCTTGAAGATTTCATTCTATTTTTCAGCTGAAATCATTTTTTTCTTTATAAATCGATGTTGTTTCAGAGAAATTATGACAGTAAAAGATCAATAATAAACAATAATGAATTCTTCAGGAACTAAGACATGGCCAATAATTGAGTGATTTCCTATAAAATTTTTAGTGTGTTTTGAGCATTAATTTTCTTTTTATGTTCTTATTTTCTTCGCTCTTTGTGATTGAATTAGGCAGTTCCAAATTCTAAAATATTACTTCCTCTCATTAGAAATAAAAATCCAAAAGAAAAATATAACGAAAATTTTGTTGACTTTCATGTCAATGAAGCGTTGCTAACATCTCCAATTAAGAAAAAATTTCACCTTACATATTCGAGTTTTTTAACAATGCAGACCTTGAAGGATTTGGATGATCATTACATCAACATAGATATTGGCGGCGATGATCTCTCTGTTCATCGTCAGCACCATCAAGGTATGCGCAAGTTATATAAGAAGGAAATTATGTGAGAATGTTTATGGAATTTGATCAGGATGGATGAGTTTTAAAAATTTTAAATTTATTTAAGATGAATATATTATAAAAATTAATTAATTATTCATATATATCATGCATTCTTCTTAAAATAAGTTGATAATTTCGATACCGCAATGACCAAATTTTAATAAAAAATAATCATTAGATATTTGGATTACAATTACTACAATAGGTACAGTTATTGGAGGTAATTTGGGTCATAGCCAATTTGTTTTATTTCATTAGTAGTTTTCCGGGCATTAAAGTTCTTATTGTTGTATTATTATTATTATTTTATTTTTTCAGTCGGTTAAGATAAATTCGTATACATATATTATACGTAAATTTCAAATTTAAAACTTTTTTATTGACGGCCAAAACTTCCAACTAACGAATCAAGTGAGCTGCCGGGTTATTCTTATTATTTTTTAATTCTTATACTGACCATTAAACTTGCAGCTGATCCAGCCGATATCACATTGCCAGATAAAGTTGATTTAGGCACAATACACACTGCCTCCATTGACCGCTTTGACAGGTAAGATTGATTTCGTAAAATGGGAAAATACATTCTTACGCAGCTCATTTTGTCATCTTTTTCTTCTTGAGTAATCAACGTTTCGAGTTTTTTAAAATTATTCTGCTGCTCTGGAGGTTTGATATTGGAGATGACACCTTCATGGAGGCTGACTTCACGTCTCAAGTCTTGCCGGATACTCCACCACAAGTTCCTCAGTCTCCTCCTCAGCCGCAAGAGCCACTACACGGTTTGCATCGATCAATTTACAACAAATCTACCTACTAATCCGCATATATAGACACACACACGAACGCCATAAACACAAAGGTTTTCAAACTCGATTTTCATTTCGGATTCACTCCATTGATAAATACTCAAAAGTTTTAAGGAAATTTAGTTAAAATAAGTATTTTTTTTTATTTGATCGGAAACTTTGCTAAAACTCTTTCGACCAAAATTATCGAAACTTGTCCATATCGAAAATATTGGTATTTTTTTGGATTAGTTTCAAGTTTCAACCAAAACCAATCCTAAATCATAAAACTTAAAACTCTGGTAGTGCCAATTAAATTAATGAAGAGGATAGATTAATTATATAAATTATTGATATATTTTCTTTTAGTTGATGCAATGGAGCACAAGCAGATGGAAGTAGAAAATCAACCTCCAGAGGAAGTCGACCAAGAACAAAAAATTGTGGGCTGGCATAATATTTCTGTACGTTTTTTTTCTTTAGTATTTTTCATGTCGTTAGAATTAATAAAATCTCAACAGAGTGCAATAAAAGAACCGGCCGGTGTGTGTCACCCTTCCAAAAGAAAGGTACGAGGAAACTCAGTAAGGGTCATTATAGATGAGCATACCATGATCCCAAGCGAAACGTACCAATCGTGGCTAAGTGATACTTCAGACATTAGCTCGCTAAGGAGAAGGAGAAAGACCAAGGTCATATTTTATCTCATGCTTTTCTATCAACTAGTTCAAGCTTTTAGACCTCTGATCATTTTATTTTATCTATAATAACTGAAGTCAATATTTATAAATCTATCCATTAGGGCCCATCATCAAAATTTTGATCTGTTTTAAATATGAAACTAAACATTTAACACTTTATGCCAAAACTAACAATCTTACTTTTGAAGTATGATAAATTATTATTTAAAGGTATATTCAAATTTGCATCACGTTCTTAAAAGTACCTTATTATTTCTACTTGGAGTACAAAAGTGATGCATCTTAAAGTGAGGAATAATAAGCTTTTTTTTTTAAACTGATTTAAATAATATTAATACATCAACCATCTTAGGATAAGGATATATATTGGTTTAATTTTTTTCCTATTTTGAATCCTTAACTCAAGTTTTCACAAGTTAGAAATTAATAAGTGATGAAATCTGTTTGCTAGAATTATAGTTGCATTGCAGCAGCTAGTTCATGTATGCTGAGATGCAAAAACTGAAACATAGAAAAATAGAACACAGAGAAGAAGAGAAAGCTTGAGGAACTTAATATTTTAGAGTATATATTTAGTGTAGAGGGGAGACAAATAATATTATGTCAGAGAAAAGGTGATTTGCTTCATAAGTGTAGGGAGTAGATTATTTGATTTGTTTGCATCAAGTGGTTGTAGTGAACTGAGAATAAAGTGGTTTCTCCCTGTTTGTTGTGGTAGTGGATGAATATATTGTCGCCTTTGCATGCTGATGAGTAGGATTGAACCGTTAGCTTGAAGCAAAGAGTTTGTAATTTGTGCGTTGGTAGCAGTTTAGTAAGCATATCTACAAACTGATCTTGAGAATTAATTGGCATTTGGAACCATAAGAATCTAGATTTGAGTGAATGTTATCTTGAATGAAATGATTGTTGATATCCATATACTTTGTGTGTGCATGAAAGATTGAATTATTTGCAAGTGCTATGGCAGAGAAGTTGCAACGAAAATCGATGGGATGATGTAGAGGGATGTGAATTAGTTTTTAAAGGAGACGACAAAGTCAAATAATGTAAGCAAAGGCAGCAGCAAGAGCTTGATATTCAGACTTTTTGGAGGATTTGGTGACTGTTTGTTACTTGTAAGCAATCCATGATATGACGGTGGTGTTGTGGTAGGATCAGTGGCCTATGGTCAAGATGTAGTCGGTGGAGACACTTGACCAATTGGAATCATAAAATGATGTAGTGTAAGGGGTCCTTTGGAGATTGCCATACCAAATTGAAGTGTACTTTTGATGTAGTGGAGAAGATGTTTGAGAAGATGCAGGAATGATGTGCAAGGGACTGTGCATATGTTAATACAATTGATTGATGACGAAGTAGATATTGTAGGGAGCCAGTTCGATTGCAGTAAAGGTGTGGATTAGAAAGGTGATTGTCGGTTGAAAGTTTAGATGGCTGTTTGGAAGGAATTGGATTGAACAGGCATTCGCGGCTGGTCATTCTAGCTTGTGGAGAATGGTGTTGGCATAAGATAGGACAATCGCCTTTAAATAAATCTATGTATCTCTCCCGCCCTAAAATATTTTTCCATTTTCCACAAAGTTGTGGTCATTCCACGCTATCTATTTATAAAATTATAGTTTTTGATGGTGTTATATACTTTAAAATTATATATATATATATATAGTTATTAAAATTTTAAATACAAAAAATCTTAGAGCTGAGCTAGTCACGAGGATCGCTAGTGAAGGGATGATTTTTTATTAAAAAAAACACTTTCTATGCTATAATATTTTTTTTAACATATATTTATAATTATAGCTTTTCTTTTTTTATTTTTGAAGAAATACAAATTGCATTAAGATTAGGAAAACATTATTATAAGCTAGAAAGGAAATAAAGCTAATAGGCTTCTCTATCCTAACATTGGGAAAGGAAGCATTATTAAAATACAAACAAAGCTTAAGAAAAAAGTATTTGCTGAAAAGAAAATATCATAATTGAAATAAGATCCACTACTCCTCACTTTGAACCAATTGGGTTATTGGGGACACCAAATTTTTGACAACCAAATAGGTTGGTAGTATCCCAGAGTTCCCAATCAGTTAAAAAACGAAAACTAAGAAGAGTTTCAAATTCCATTACTTATTCCATAATGAAAATAAAAAAACTATGATGATATCCTCAATACCTAACGGCCATATTATAACCTCTTCCCTACTAGGACAAAACATTTTGATACTCATCATCGAAGTCAACACTCTGACCGATAGGATATTTTCACATGTCACAAAATTTACCACTTATCCTTGATAAGTCTTCAATAGCCCCTAAGATCTTGAGCTCCATAATTGGAAAACTAGACTCCCCCTTAGAACAACCAGATCCCATACAAAAGAAATTTCCATAAATTTTCCTGCTCAAGTTGAATTTTTACCAATTGAATATTCTAGAACAAGAACAAAAAATTTCAGACATAGGGCAACCTCCTTTTTACGGGCTCCCCTACAATTATAGAATGTAATTGAAGTCATCAAAAACGAGAAGGGGAAATGCCCCCATCCACCATCTTTCCTCCACCAACCACTTTCCTCTTCCTAGGAACTTCTTATTTAGAGCCCAATCTTCTTAATTTTCTGTCCAATCTTGTTTTAATAGTGATTGGCTTCATTCCACTCAAACCTTCAGATGATCTCTAGGAATTAAACATTCCTCCACTTTCTCGCTGCAAAGTTCTAGCATTCTCAGCTATGTTGTTTTCCTTCTTAGATGATACGGAACTCATCTTAAATTCTTTAACTACCAAGACTTCATCTTCACATCCATCTAGCATTAGAGGAGAAAAACATTATTCAAGCAAAATTCTGATCAGAATTTTTAACTGCCTCAATCAATTCCATTTTTGGTTCCTCATTCAATTCATTTAGATCAATATTATTTTGATCTGAACATGAATAACTTTATTAAGAACAAGAGCATTAAACAACTCTTTTGAAACCTGAATAAATTCAATATCTTTAGAATCTAGAATATGTCCATTTTTATTTCAGTAATATCAATAACACCATCTTTCTTGGCAAAATTATTTTCCATGTCCTGATTTTTAGTATTAATTTCTTTAGGTCTTTTTTCTTAGACAAATTTAGATTGCCTTCGATGCTCGAGCTGTAACCAAGGTCCATATGAATTTCCTTCACTTTCATTTTTATCTCCATTCTCTTCAACTTTAGCTTGTTGTTTCAAAGTAATTAGGTTATGATTAGAGTTTTCCTGAATCAATTCAGAACAGTTATTCTTCATATGTACAATCCTTCCTTAATGAAAACATATTATAGAGATTTTCTCATATTCTACTTTCTGAAAGAATCTTCCATATAACCTTTCCACCCAAACTCCGGTTAGGAGTTGTCTGATGGCCTACCTACGTCTGATAGGTTATCAATAACAACATTCGTCTGGCGATCCCTCTCTGCTATAGCAGAGAAACCACGAAAAAGATGCAAATGGATTTTAAAATTCAAGAAACAGTCTTCTCTCTCCTCAAAACAAATATTCCTCTAGAATTAATCTTTCTAGGGTATAAAAATTATAGCTTTTCAGCCATGGCATAACAACTTAAGTAAAACAAAGAAATTAGAAAAAGAGGGCCAGTGAGCTATTTATTTTTAAAACATTGACCCATGACTAGCTAAAAAATAAATAAATATTTTTCGTGTTTTTTTATTTTTTTGGATCACCTAATCCTGTTCAATGTAACCGGTCGCTTGTTCGCCAGTCGCCAGAATCGCTAGCCACTATGCCTCTTTATTTTTTAATAATATAATTTATAAAGATATTTGTTTATAGATATCTTTATTCAGCTTATTTCTCAACATTTTTTTTTCCTAATTTGAGCGTGCAACCTAAATTTATTCAACAAACATCAAATACATTTCAGCTAAGGTTAATCTAACTTTATTCAATTATGAAAAAAAAAAGTAAAAAACATTAATAGCTTATTCAAGTCACCCAAAAAACGAGCAAAATTGAGATGAATTTATATTCGAGATAAATAAAATGATTGATCGTAAAATGAGGGTATCAGTGTTTTTGTTACATTTATTCTTTTTATTTCTCGTTGCTTATTTAATTCAAATCTTCAACTGGAAAAAATCGAATTTATTTTTCCCAAATTGAAGGAATAAAATGTGGCCGCTTTGATTGATTTACAACATTATGACCGAATTTTGCCACAACAAACATCAACCACAAATAATAGCAAATGTTCCTCAATCTTTCTCTATCTTTGATTAATTAACGGCATTAGTTGGCATGTTTTAGAAAGATTTACTCTTTATAAACCAAAGACAAATTCTTCTTGACCTGAAGGAGTCTGATAAGATGACCTGTTGTTTGAGCTAATCGAATGGTTTAAGGGTAACAATTACAGACATAAATATAACTATTGATCGGTATTTTTTGGCTAGGCTTTTGTCTGCATCTTTTATATGATTCAATAATGGTATTATTATTTCTAAACATTTGAAATCGTATCTTTTTTTTCAATATTGAATTGAACAAAATATCATTGATCATAAGCTTTGCAAGTAAAATAAAATAAAAGCATTAATATGCATATTATTTTAATTTCAATAACAATCTAATTTGGTATTATGATAATGTAAAAATTTTTGCCAGTTATTTAAATTTATTTGTACAGTCTATGATTGCTTGATGTGAGCCTACAATAATGCTTATATGATATTAATTATATGTTTTTAATTATTTTTTTCTTAATTAATTTTTATGTAGCCGACTATTCACATATTGTGCTCAGCTAAGGTAGACACCCTGATGAACTTGCCACCTTTGTGCCTTATGGCTAGCTCAAAAAACTTTCTTCATAAAATGTATTACCCTGAACCACTTATGGAGCTGTGGAAAAAATGCACCATAGGAAACCCTCAAACGCCACCAGGTAGGCATCATATTCTTTCTTATTAACTTCAAAAATTAATATATATGGACCACATAGAAGACTAAAGTATGCTTACTTCTAATTCATTGTTAGTACATCAAAAGAGCACATCGCATTCTATCCGCGAGGAAGTACAACATCAAGATTTTGCTGAAATTGTGAGTTCCATTGCATAAATTTATACAATATTTTACAAAATTAAAAATAAAATTTTAATACTAAAGAAATATTGGCTTTAACATTTTGATTTTTACATGGTCCACTATATCTATATCCGAAGTCACAACATGGTGATTTTGACATTGACCAAATGATGGCGGCAACTAAAGAAGATTTTAATTTAGCTCCAAATGGTGTCCCTGGAGGATTTACCTCCTCTGGTAGCCGTGGTATGTATTTCATTCAAAGATCAAAATTATTTTCTTTTATATGTACATTTTAAAAGCTAACTATGATGTTTCTATAACAGTAGATGATTATTCTCAGCCCATTCATAGCTCTGATACTAGCCATAATTCATTGACTTCTGGAAGGTTTGCTAAAAATCTTACACTATATTACTAATTGCTCGATATTATTTCCTAGAGATGAAAAACATCATGTTACAATAATTTTTAAGATTATACACTTATGATATTTTGATAGTAGCATTCCATATTGAATAAACAACTTTCATATTGTGTTATTGATTCTTCAATATTATTTACTAGAGAAGAAAAATTTACATAGTCAAACAACTTTAAAGATTATTATGCTTTGTTTTTTGAAAAGCGATTTTATTCTAAAGAAAAAAAAAAAGAGGATACAAGTAAGTCCAAAAAGGAACCAAGCCAAAATTACAATTCGACAACCATAAAAAAAGAGACAATAAATAGAGAAGGAAGCAAAAGCCAGCAGGGCTCAGTCATTGTCAAGAAGCTTTATGCTAACACTCAGAAGCTAGGCAAAGACCGTCCGGAGGAGGAATCAAGTAACAGCCGCCAAACATATCAACATGAACCACCTCCAATGGTTGCAAGCAAGCCACAACCGTCCAGGAGGTGAATAGAAAGTCGCCACATCATTTCCTGGACCTTGTAAAAAAGCTATAACTGCAAAGGCAAGCCCCCAGTACCACCAAACTAGAAAATGAGCCCTTCCATCACAAATCAAAGAAAGAAGCCATTCCCAACCAAGCAGATCCCAACATAAGACCCAAATCAAGAAAATCATTTCTTTTTGGATTTTCGTCGATCACACTTAGCACTCTTTTTAGAAACAACATCCTCAACAAATTGAATGATGCTTAATTCAAAATTATCCCATGAATCCAAATCTTTCTCAAGAATTTCCTCCCCACCATCTAAGGAATTTCTATTTTCTAACCTCTCACTATGCATCACCTCATAATCCCTCGATTTACTTATGATATGAGCAAATAAAACATTATTAGACATAACTGATATAGGCACCTCAATAAGAGGCACAACAGTTTTAGCCATAAGATCAGAACCATCATAAAATATGGTATTAAAATGAGCAGGAGTATCCAAATTATTTACATCTTCACAGCTATCAATATGTACAATCTCGGCCACAAGTGGGACAGCCAAATGGTCCCCCAGCTCCATAGGGACAAAATCATCAAAAACTGCAGCTTCATGGCCCACTAGCTTCAAAGAAGCAGAACTATAATCCACCACAACATTATCTTCCGCTACATCATCATCAACATCTCCATCGATAGAAGATAGAACCGAGTAGAGACAAGGTTAACCAAGCAAGGGTAAGGGATCAACATGCTACACTCATTGTTGACATTAGAATCATTGATCAAATTACCCATTTTATTACAAATACCCTCATTAAGACAATCAGAATCATTAACATCATTACCCACAGGATTACAAAAGACCTCATTAATAGATCCAGAATCAGCAACTACATTAGTTGTAGGCGAGACAAGCATAAATAAATGAGCATTCTCATTGTTATTAATAACAACAAAAGCATACCCATAAGAAATCTGCTGATCATAAGCTCCAGTCACATTGACACCAAGATCATTAACACCTCCCACATTTCGCTCTTCATTAATAACCGAAGCCAAAACAACAATCACATTACCGTTAGCATTCCCATCATACAAATCTAGATTAGCATTAGATTTTGGAACATGCAATGGGATAGAGGAGTGAATGTTACACTCACCCCTAAGATGATCACCAAGACACTTGTATAAAATGTAGAAAGAAGGAAAATCCTCCATCTGAACCATTTGAACATATCCTGCATTCTCAAGCCCAAGCCACATTTTGTATGGATAATTTTTTGTGATGTCCAGTTCAACTAAGACCCATGCAAGGGATTGCCTTGAGCCAACATAAGTGGTACTGTAGACTTTCAAGGGCCAACGAAGAATATAACACAAAGTGTGAAGGATTTGAAGAGAGATGAGATGGGGTTGTAGATTGGGGAAGAAAATCCAAATTGGAATAACCGAAGATTCAAAATCGATATCCAGAGAAGGTGACCATTTAGTGAGTTACATGAAACAATTATTCACTAAATATGATCTATGTCAAAATACTCTACTATAATCATGACCATTAGATAACTTAATCAGAACGCGCGACTGATCAAGAACAGTGACAGGGAAATCAATATTCAGCTTCAAGTTGAAAAAAAAAATCTAGGAATTGCATCCAAAGAAGGTCAGCGCGAAGGAAAAAAATCCAACCAAAGCAAATTGAAAAGGAACTACAAGAGCCAATATTTCTTTTTTTGAGATCCACAAAGAGGGCAAACCACGGACGAACACTGCCAGAGCTCAAGAAAATATATAATAGAAGGAGAACCTGAAAGGACATTAACAAAAGATCATGATTTGAAGGAATCATTTAAAAAATTTGAATCACTAACTCGTTTAACCGCCATTCCAGCTGCAAACGACCGGAGATGGAAGAGACGAGGAAGCCAAAGCAGAAAGAAAGGAAAAAACCAATCTAAAAAAGGAGAAGGAAAGGTTTAGCTTCCTTGAAACCTCCAACAAGAGGATGCAAGAATCACCCAAACGAAAAGTAGTGGAACTACCCTGAAATGCGCTGGAGTAGCTGCTAGGGCAAAGCCCTAGCTAGCGGAGCGGGCGAAGCGTCGGGGAGACAAATTTTATTGAATGCAAAAATAGGATATGCATTAGCTAATTTTAAAGATTATTATGCTTAAGACTTTGATAATAGTATTACACAATATATCATTAGTTAAGTAGTTGGTAGTTTTTTTTTTTTTTCTTGAAAAGTACTGGGTAATGACATTGAAATTGCTGTTTAACTACAAAATGGATGAAATCAATAGATAGAAATAATTGAACTCAAAGGTAATGCATTGTTATATTTTAGTTGCATTGTCTTGACAACTCTCTTATGAGCATTGGAACAGGTCCAGTAAGAGACAATATTATTTGTCAATTGGAAATCTCGACACAGTTGCTGAGGATATTATCATGCCAAGCTTAGGTATGCGAAATTAAATATACCAACTTTAATTTTGTTGTACGTTCTACCATTTTATTACTGTTTTTTTTTTTTAATATATATATGCCACCTAATTCTTATCTATTTATATACCTAAAACTAAGATCTAAATATTTAATTTTATAACACCCTATTGTATAAATGATAATAAAATATATACATGAAAAAATATATATATTTCATTTTAGTTAAATTAATGTGAGTGATATTTCTAATATAATTCACAGATTAGAGTTTTATATGGATAAATATATACATTTACACATTAGATATGCAAATATATAAAAATTCAACGGTATATATGCAAATCCCCTAATTTTTATTGTTTTATGGCCAACTTGAGATATTCCAATAAAATATTAAAATTTTCATATTAATGAAGCATATGCCTAAACAAGGACATTCAACCAATAGGTGAACAACTACAAGTACCGTAAAGAGAATGCTCTAAGCAAAAATGGTATTTATATATATACTTATATATTTATGCAGATGTATAATTAGTTCTCACATGGTTCATCTTTTTGGTGTTTGTACATTCATTTGTGATTGAAATAATACATTTTTTTCCTTAAGATTTTACAATAATAAAATAGAATAATATAAAAAATAGCTAATAGAAAATTAATGATTTTAAGATGGTAAGTAAAATAAATAAAGAATAGATGAATTTGAATGAAAAATAATAATGAAATAACATGATAAGTAAATTTAGTTAAAACAATAATAATGAAATAACATGATAACTAAATAATATATTTGTTTGTCAATCATTCTATTAATTGATATATCTATTTTGTTTAACTTTTCATGATGCTAAATTTATAGAACCCTTGGAAGAAACAATACCTACTCAAACTCCTAATCATTGTGCATTAATCAAACCCCCGTTCGACCAAATTACTGAATCAATTCGCAAGTAAGTTTATCTCCTCCCTTCAAATTCCATTTAAAATGACAGATCTTTTTAAAATTTATAAACCAAGCTTCATGCATCAATAATGCAGGCAATTGAAATCACACTTTGATACACCGGGAAGCTCGCAAACTGAATCACTCAACCAACTAGCTGATGGCCTCACCCGAAAGAAAGCGGCCCAACTATTTTATCATACATGTGGTAAGTTTTATTACTTGTACAATTAACAATGTATAAGAAAAGCTCCAAATACAAATCTTTTTCCATAAATAGGATAAAATGATTGGAAACCCATTTACTTAAAATGCATATCATATGCTACTATGCTAGCTTAAGTTATTTCATAATACATTTAAATATGTGAAATGTGATCAACCTGAACAGACCTATTATTGTATTTTTCCAGTCATGGCAACTATGGATTATGTGAAGGTAGAGCAGCTAGTGCCATATGGAGACATCTCCATCTCTAGGGGACCCAAAATATAATTTGATAGCAAGATGGCTGAAGTTAGAAGTTTCTCCCCTTGGTTAGTTTGCATATATGGTATTATGGGGCCTACAAGAAATGTTTTTAGGCTCTTATTTTTTTAGGATGGCTTTATTTTCTTCTTCTTATTATTGTTATTGTTATGACTTTTACTTTAGGCTTTTATATATTAACACTCTTGACTACCATTCAACGGCATGCTTTATCAAGGAAGAATTCTTTGTTGTTTTTTGCAGGTCTATTTGCCTCCAGTTAGTTGATTTTCATGAGGATATCAAATATAAAGAAATAAAATAATATTTTGAATTTATTTCTTTTACTTTCAGTGTATAAATTCAACTGACTAGTCTTTCATTAGTGTAGAATTTTAATTAGAAGATTTAACCTTTTTATTGAGATTCGATAGTGTAGGTTACATAGACTTATTTACCAGGTAACTCCACATACGCCTTAAAATCTCTATCACTATATATAGTTTGGTTACTTCTTAAGCTAAGTAGTGTCTTGTTTATATTCTTCGCTTCTAAGCAGATTGATTTTGCTCTGTTAAGGGGAAATTGGATGGTGAAATGTCGGCAGGATTAGGAAATTATGTTAAAACCCTTCTGTAGAGCTGATTATAGAACTCAACGAGTCTCGCGATGCCCTAAATCCTCCTGGCGGCGACTTTCCGTCCCCGCCGTTCTCATCGCTTGCGCCTGGCGGCTCGTCTCCTCTTCGTCAGGGAAGTCTCCTCTTCCTTTCTGTTCTTGTGTTTTGGTGATGATGGCTTTTTCTCGTCTTCGTGATCCTGGATTTTTAACCGGTTCTTCGCCTCTTTCATTTAAAGATGCGCTTTCTGGTTCTTCATCTAGTGCTGTAGTGTTTCCCGAAATTAAGGTTTCTTCTTTTAGAGGCATGCCTTCTTTGTGGATTTCGGAGATGGAAATCGAATCCTTAGCTGCTCCGTTTGAGTTTGCCCTTGTCGAAAAGTTTCCTTCTCGTCGTCCATCTTTGGATGCTATTAGGAAATTTTTCTTTAATCTTAAACTGAAAGGGGATGCCTCTGTCACTGTTCTTAACAATCGGAACGTCTTGATTAAGCTTTTCAATGATTTGGATTATTGTAGGGTGTTTGCTCATAGATCCTATTTCGTTAACAATTGTTTCATGAAATTGGTTAAGTGGTCGCCTATTTTAGATGTCGAAATTGATTCTCCGGTTATTCCCATCTGGATTTCTTTTCCAAATCTTAGACCACATCTTTTTGTGTCGCATATTCTCCATGGTTTGGGGAAGATTTGTGGTTTCTGATTCTGTTAATGTTGCGATTTCTCCTCCCGAGTGTGGAAGGGGGGATGAGGTTTCGCCTGTTTTGGGTGTTGTTGAGGATTGTGGTAGGCCGATGGTTAGTGTTGGTAATGTGGAATCAAATGTGTGTGGCTTGGTTGTTAATTCAGGTGTGCAAGAAATTTTGGATAATTTGGTTAATGTTCCTGTAACAGTGAGTGGTACTTCTGGACTTGATATTAAATCTCAGGGTGATTGGTTGCACAATTCGTCTGACTTTGGATCTGATTATGAGTCCTATTCAGATCCGGGTAATGAATTTAAATTGAACCGTGATGTACCTCTTAAGGTAGCCTCTCGTGGAAAATTCTGGAAGAGAGGTGGCAGAAGAAGATAATTCGCTTTCATCCTTGTTTGGCTCTTTCGATTATTCTATTTTGATCATGGTTTGGATTGAAGGTTGCGGGGTGATGATGTTGCTGGGGCTCGTGTCTGCGTTGGCTTCTTTGTGGCAACCTTTGGTGATTTCCACCTTTGCTGGACGGTCCTGGTGCTTTCGTGGACGCTGGCAGTCTCGGCATTCTACTGAGCCCTCTTTGGGGGTTTTTTATTGTGTCTGTTTCTTGTTATTGTTTTTCTTTGCTGTCTGATTTCCCTTCTTCAACTGTTGTAACCTCGTTTTATCAATTTTAATATAAAATTTTTATTAAAAAAAAAAATGTTAAAACCCTTCTGCGCTCATATGAAATTGGACATATTTTTTTATGGACTTTTTAAGTTAAACAAATAAAAAGATATTTTACTAAGATTAAAAATAATATCACTGTATATCTTACTCGGTAATTTACATATGGCCGTCAAACTTATACGTTGTTATTCCCAATAAATCTCTGATATTTTTTGTTTGGTGAAAATAAATTTCCTAAATAAATATTGTTATACCATATTTGAGCGAATAAACTGCTATTGAAAAAAAAATAATTATGATGTATATTTTATCATGAATGATTTAAAAACAAATGAATTTATTTTTATATAATAATAATAATAATAATAATAATAATAAATTCATTATTTTTTAAGCTCTTCATATTAAAAAAAATTAAATGGATTAAAATATAATAGGAAAGGATAAAAAGGCTTCAACTTACCGCAAAATACTTATTAATGATTGAGAAAACAGTTGTTTTATACTGTCAAAATATGTAAAAGCAAAAAAGAAAGAGCAGACGCCACTTTCCACACAGACTCGATCTCAGCCACTCATCAGTAACAGAATATATGAATCACTCACGTACGTGTAAATGCACACACTCAATTCAGTATATATACCTATCGAATGTATTCAGTGTGTGCAATAAGCTACACCATCATACTATCTCTATCTTCTTCCTATTGCATACCGTAGAGCAACAGAGCTCTGAGAGCTCACCCTGCTCTCATTTCTTCATGGTATCAAAGCATGCTTAAAAACCTGATACGCAGCAAATGGCTCAATCCTCCTCTTAAATTGGCGCTCCAACTATTGAAACCTTCACCGAAGGCGGCAACATCCCTGCATCACTCAAATTCGTTGTTTCCAACATCAAAACCATCATCCCAGCTCAACTTTCACCCGACAATTACCTGATCTGGAGGTCTCAAGTCCTCAAGTTATTTTGGGCGAATGGCTTCGCCTGTTTTCTTGACTCTATAACAGCACCTACACAACAATGGTCTCAGTCCTCTGATGGCATCACCATCATCAATCCCAAGTACAACGAATGGATTCTAATAGATCAGAATCTAGCAGCTGCTTTGTGCTTCACGATCACACTATGTAATAAATCTCGATTCTTGCTCAACAATCTAGATTACCATTTAATGGAAGCTGCAAGCTACAAATCATTTGAGAGTCAATCAACTTAAGAATGAACTCCATAACATCTCAATGAAGAAACTCAATATGATCAGCAGAAATAAAAAACACATTAAATAATATTGTAGCAGTCAGAGCAAACATAGACACAGAATATATCATTTTGTACACACTCAATAGCAAGCCGCCATCCTATCAGGCTTTTAAAACATTGATTCAAACAATGCTTCATCAAATTAGCCTTGAAGACTTATATTATCTGATATTAAGTGAAGAAATCAACATTTGGGCTTAACTATCTCGTCAACAATCCTTTCTAGATCCAAATCTGCCACTGTACTCGAACAGAGGCCGTGGACGTCGCGGCAAAGGAAGGTCTTTACCTACCCTCAATTGAACAACACAAACATCCTCAACCACCTGACAAATTTGTAACAAAAAGGGACACTGAGCTACAAACTGTTGGCATAGCCTGAACGTCAACTGTGTCCCTCCCGCAACCACACAATTACCCAAAGCTTTGATTTTAACAATAAATGCATCCAATTCGGACTGGCATTTGGACTCCGGCGCATCATCCCATCTGACCACCAGCAATCTCCAAAACATGGATCACCCTGCACCCTATCAATGCAAGGACAAAGAGATGAGAGATTTATGATTGATAAATATGATGAGGCATACCACAACTATAGAGAAGAATCAACCACATAATAAAAAAATTATAAACCAAGAGCAACTGATGTGAAACCCTTAAGATTTCAAATCATTTTTGAAATTATGTGTAGTTCATCTGTACGAATCGTCTGGACGATTAGGAGTTTTGAACAGAGCCGATCGTCCTATGACGAAAATCAATTATCGTCTGTACGAATTGCGTATAGAGCCGATTGTCCCAGGACAAAAAATAATTATTGGCCGTACAATTTGAGTATAGAGGAGATCGTCCCAGGACCAAAAATAATTATCGTATGTACTAATTCTATTTGAACACGAACTAGGGGTGTCAATAATTGACCCGACCCGACAACCCAACCCGAACCCGACCCAAAAAATTCTGGTTAGGGTCGACCCATTTAGCAAACGGGTCGGGTTCGGGTCTTAACTTTCAACCCGTTTCATAAACAGGTCGGGTCCAGGTCAACCCGGTAACCCGGAATTGACCCGAAATTAACCCGGTTGACTCAGGTTCAACTTTCCCAAAATTAAAATTTGAAGACTAAAGTTCCCGCTGGCCTTAAAAAAAATAAATAAAGGCTCAGGGCCCGAGGGAGGTTACTGCTCAATGCTCAGTTACTCAATGCTCAATGCTCATTGGTTGTTGTGTTGGTGGAATTTTGAAAACATGTTTTGAAAAATATTAGTTTTCTTTGGGAATTTTAAAATTGAGATTGAACTCTAATTCTATAAGTCGAATCAACTCGTTCGGAAAAGTATATCACCTCGAAGGACGAAAATAAAATTCCATAACGGTGTTTAGACTTAGAATCGTGAAATTCATCTTGAATATCATGGCTAGATTCTAAAGAGAACTCCACACGGCCCCGAGGGGACGAGGTAGAGTTCAACTAAATAATCCAGTCATGGTATTCAAGGAGTATGATTTCCAAATTCATATCTAAAGCCTTATCAAAGAAGGATGTATCTCCCCAAAGAGAGATAACACCTTTCAGTGATAATTCTTCTAATATGATAACGACAATCATTTTTTTTTAACTTTTCCCAAAGAAGTCTACAAGGATTTTAAAAAGATTAGTTTTGAAATCAGGTGTGTGTGGTTCCAAATCTCCTACGAGCGCAAGCCCTCGTAGTTAATTACATCGTAGGGAGACAGAGTCCCCTACAAAAACTCTCATTAAAACAAGAATGAAATTTTGTTAGATTTTCTAGGAGTGATATCAAAAAATCGAATAGAATCTTTTGGAAAATCAAAAGGGAGTGGATCAAGATTGAACATTTATTAACAGAATCGAAGGAAGAGAGGTAGGGGACACTTTGAGATTCCAGAACCATCCGGAAGTGTCCCAACTTAATTTAAGTGTTGGGCTTTACATTTTAGAATCGAAAAGAGATTTAATTTGAGTTGAGCATTTATTAGAAGTTTGAGATTATATTTCCGAGATTGGGGCCTTA